CCCCCCCCTTACCTTTCTACATCTTAATTTTGAACTCTTACATTGGGGTAACTGCGGTGCACCCCATAGCTCAGCCCACCAAGGCAGCCGGGAGGGCTGACCCCCATTGTGCCCCTTTGGGGGGTCCGGGACACACTGGGGGGGGGCAGGGGGAGGCAATGCCGGCGGCCACCCTTGCTGCTCTAATGAGGCTTTCCCTCTAATTAATATTCCCCGGCAAAGCCGGCGCTGGTTCTTGGTCTCTCGGCTTTTATCTCCATTGGCATTGATGTGACATCAATGGGAGACGGCGCTTTGAAAGCTGTTTGTTATTTGCGATGTTGGATCTGTGGGAGGATGAAGAGGGGCGTCCCCAAGCCCGGGTCCAACTCCGCTCCAGTGTCTGTGTCCCCCTTCCCCCAGGACACGCGTGGAGGGCTGCGTGTCCACGTGGGGGTGCAACTGTGGGCATCCCTCTTTCCAGCCCCTCCAAGAAGGTAAATTGGGCAAAATAATGAGATTTCTGCACCCAGTTGGCTCCCGTGTGGGTGCCCGGGCATGGGATCCCGATTCACACCCAAACACGCAACCAATTCACGCGTGAGCACCCAGTTAGGTCACGGCTGAGCACCTGATTGTGCCATGCCTGGGTGGCCAATTAGCCAACACCTGAGCACCCAATTAGCCAACACCTGAGCACCCAATCTGCTCATGCCTGAGTGGCTGATTAGCTCCTGCCTGAGGGTTATTTTGGGGCATAAACGGGCAGATTTTGGTATCTGGGGGCTGCAGTGGTGCTGGAGGGGGTTGGGAAGAGCTGGGTACTGGTTGTAGCTGCTCTGAAAGTGATGGAAATGCCCCGTGGCACCCCAAAAACATTAGGGGATCCTACGGCAGGGAGGGCAGGAGATGTGGGGCTGGAGCCTCGCTGGTGTGAGGGGTCCCTCCGCACCCGTCCTGCGCTGTGGAGCCCAGTTACCCCAGTATTCACCCAAAGGGAATTTGCATCTGGTGAAATGGCATGGTGAGTCCCCCGAGTCGCAGCCTCCCCCTTGGGGTGTTTTGGGGAGGTCACTGAGGTCCCCTTGTACTGGGAGGTGGTGGTGGGGTCTGTGTTGGGTCTCAGCCCCTCTCCTCCAGCATCCCGCAGGAGCATCCGCAGGCAGCGGTGGGGGCTGGGGGGGGGGACTGCGCTCCCCTCCCCGCCCCGGCGTGCGCTTTGCACAGATGTTCACGCCATCCAGCTCCAGTAATTCCAATATTCCTGACAAGGGAATTTGCAGCTGAAGCCGGCCAAGACTTGCTCAAAATGTGCTTCTTTTTTTTTATTTTTTTTTTTTTTTAAAACTGACTTTCCATGAGGATTGGTGCCAGAGACTGGGAGGACCCAAAATGCCGCATTTCAGAGCAGCGCCCCGCAAAGCAGGGGGTGAGGGGACCCCCGAGATGAGCTAATGGCTCTGCCCTTGCAAGTGGGCTGGTGTTGGGATGCTGGTGGGCGCAATGGGGAGGTGGGCTGGGGATGGGGATGCTGCCTGCCTCACTCACTCCCAGAGGGAGAAAACACAAGCAGGATACAGCTGAGCTGTTTAACACCTATTTTTTATTGGGCAGAGAGGAACAGATGTGTTCCAGTGGCTGTGCAGGGGAATTCGCAGCCATTCCCAGGCTGGCTGCCATGGCCACGAGCACGTGCCGAAGCATTTTGGGGATCGTCACCCCCACGAGATGCTCAGCCGCTCCAAACAGGTGCTGCGGACTGATGCCTTTAAGCAGTTTTAAGACTTGGAGATCTCCCCCTCCTGC